TAGTAGTGTATATAAAGTTTATATATTTATAAAAGTCTAGTTAAACTATTAGATATAACTAAGTTAGATTCTAGAAAGAGAAGCTACTAGAGAATTTATATATCTACTTAGTAGGTACGTTACTAAGTAACTATACTTACTTAAAGAATCTAGTATTATTATACTATATAAACGCGTTAGTATTAATATAAGAATAAACTTAGTATAATCTAAATATATATCTTTTTTATAAACTACGTATATATAAGCTAGAGTAGTCTTATTAGTCTTATATATAAACTATAAACTATAAGCTAAAGTTATAAGAAATATATTTAAGTATATATTTACTTAGTATATATCTTTAGTTAGGCGCTAGACTTATTAATATTCTTGTTAAATGTATAATATTATAGTCTCTTAATATAGAGAAACTATTTAGTTACTATATTCTTTCTAAATATTAGACTAAACTAAGAATAATTTTATACACTTACTATAGATAGAAATAGTATACTAAGTAGCTAAGAGGCGTAAGTTAAATAGTAGTAGTAATATTTCTAATAATATATATTAACTAAGTAGTTTTAACTAAGAATAGTTTACGCTTATATCTACTATTAAGAGTAAAAATTTCTAGACTTATTTTTTATCTTCTTCTTTAACGTTACTCTTACTCTAGTGTCTATTATTAGAATTAGACTAGAAGTTATCTTCTTTAGACTAAGAGTTATCTCTCTTAGACTAAGAGTATTCTCTATTAGATAGTAATAACTCTTTATTAAACTAAGATAAAGCTAGATCTAACTTAGTCTTATCTTTCTCTTTACGCTTATATTTAGTATTCTACTCTTTTAGTCTAGAAAGTAACTTAGTATCTTTATAGTTAGAATTTACTAATATAGCTTTATTATTACTATCTTATACTATAAAATATAACTAAGTTAGTACTTAGCTACTATTATACTAATAAGCTTATTATTCTAAGCTCTTTTCTACTTTTTAAAGCTTTAGTCTAGACTAAGAAGTATTTAGCTATAGTACTTTTTTATCTTTATTAGAGAAATTAGAACTAGAACTTAATAGACCTTTTTTAATTATAATTAGATTAGTAGATACTTTACTAGAAATAAATAATATAGATTTACTAGGTTAGTTAGAATTAATCTAAGTAGAATCTAGTTAGATAAGTATAAGTAGCGTAAAGAATATAGTTTAGAAGTTCTAAGAGAAGTTCTAAGAGAGATACTACTAGAGAGTAAGATTATCTAGATAGAACTTAGTAGTATTTAACTATAATAATATAGACTATTTTGTTAAGCTTAATACTTTAATATTCTAGACTATATTATCTAATACGCTATAGCTAATTAAAGAAAATATATCTAGTTATAACTTAGTTCTATCTAGACTATTATAGTATATAGCTAGCTATAAACTCTTATCTTCTTAGATTAGTATAGTTAGTATAGACTTAGACGCATTAACGTAGACGTTTTTATTTTACTAGTTACTATTAGGCTTAATAATCTTAGCTATTAGCGTTATTACTATAGTATTAATTAGATTTAACTTAGTTAAATTATTATAAGTATACGTTAGGCTATTTAAAGAAATAAGAAAAGTAAGTAGTTAAAGTAATAAAGAACTAAATAGATAGTTTCTTATATATCTATCTAAGCGCTAGCTAGTGTATAGACTTATAACTTCTATAACTTTATATTTATAGAATAAAAATTTATCTAAGACTAAACTCTCTATAAATATAAATACCTATAGCTCTAAACCTAAATAAGAAGATAATATATTATCTTTATAACTAAAAAACTACCTAAAACTAACTATACTTAGTTAGACTTAACTAAGTTAAACTTTACTAGTATAATACTTCTATTTTTTTTTATTCTTCTTCTTATTCTTTTTCTTATTCTTACGCTTCTTATTATTTTAGTTTATCTTCTTAGTTTTTTTTTTATTATTACTACTTTCTTATTAGTTTAGACTTAACTAAGTATTATTATATTAATATATATAAAGTAATTATTATATCTTTATAAGTAGCTAAAGATACTTTAGTAAACTTAATAGAAATATAATAATATAGCTTATTATTCTAGAGAATAGCTAAATAGGCTATAAGAGTTAGCTAAGTCTAATCTTAGTATATACTTAACTTACTATAATTATTAGCTTTATAGTAAAACTAGTAGAACTAGTAACTTTTCTTTAAGCTAGTTTAAATATAAGCTTTACTAGCTAAGACTTTTTATATTATATTAGAATAGGTATAGACTAAGTTAATTCTATCTATACTTATACTATTCTTATATATAGAGAGCTCTAGTAATCTCTCTATAATATATACTATCTACTTATCTACTTCTTAAGCTTATAGAAGTTAGTTATAATTAAACTAAAATAAATCTTTTATATACTTTTTAAGTAGCTAGCTACTTAGCTAGCTACTTATTATAAAGAAATAGTAGAAGTAGAGTATTACTAAAGCTAGGCTTCTTTAAAGTTTTATAGTTAGGTAGTTAAAGCTTAGTTTAGTCTAACTTATACTAGACTTTAACTATATTCTTAGCTTTAATATATTTCTCTATAGCTTTTATATAGTTAAGTATATTCTAAAAGTAATCTATCTAAGTTAGCTATAATTAATCTAAGTTATATTCTTAGTATTTATACTATTAATTATCTTATAGTAGCTTTTACTTACTTATTTTTTTATCTAATCTATAAAGAAATATCTAGCGTAATAATACTATTATATATTAGTAGACTTAGATAAAACTAAGTATAATCTAACTTACTACTTTACTATAAATCTATTTAAGATACTTTATAAGTATACTAGTATTATTTATAGTAAACTATATTATATTAGTTAAGAGTTAACTAAGTATATATAAAATCTCTTACTTTATCTAACTTATATTTATATAGTAGTTTTCTAGTTCTAAAGTTAATATTAGCTAAGTAGTAAATTATTTCTTAGACTATAGTAACTATCTTAGTTTTATTATCTTAAAAAGTATTAACTAAAATATATCTTAAAAAAATATAAGTATAGTATATAGCCTAAAAGTAGAGTAGACTAGCTAGACGTAGTAGAAGTACTTAGTAGATCTTAATAAATTTCTATACTACTATTAGTTTTAGATATAACTAAGTACTATCTAGATAAACTTAGTCTTTAAGTTTTTTTATTTTATATACGCTTTCTATTATTACTTTATATTTTTATTTAGCTAAATCTAACTAAGTTAGATCTAAAGTTAGCTACTTTATATTATAATTAAAATTAAAATTATTAAATTTTAATATTATTAGGCGCCTTAAGACGTTACTAAAAAAGATCTTAATAGTAGTATATATACTACTAGCACTACTTAGAGGTATAGTATAGTAGTAAGTAGTAGTAAGAAAGTATAGTTACTAAGTATATAAGTCTTAATTAGTAGCTTAGATTACTAGTACGCTAGTAGCTATACGCTAATTTAAGTAAAAGTTAAGTTACTTTTACGTAATAAATTAAGAGTTAGCTAAGTTAAATCTAGAGGTTAGCTAAACTAATCTCTGCAAGAAGATCTACTACACTTTTAATAGAGGTTTTCGACTAATCAGCAACGCCATGTTCACTTCAGAAGATCTCTCCACGCATGCCCGGATCGCGCGCGAGCCATCTGGTGTCGCCAAAGAACATGACCCCGACGCTACACCTCTCGCAACGTTCCTTCGCTTCATGGATCTTCCCAAAGACATCCGATTCCTGGTCTATGAACACCTACTCAATCGGTGCATCAAGCCTTTATCTTTCCCGGAAATGGGGATTGCCTATGAGGTGGTCACAATAGATCCGGCAGTCGCCCAAGCGTCACGCCAGCTCAGGGACGAAGCACGAGTGGCGACGCGCCAACAGCGTCTTGGTGGACCGCTTGTAATCTACGTTAACAGATCACTCAACCATGTGGGAGATATTTCTCGCACACTATCCATGGCTTACGACTCTGATCAACAACATATATTACAAGAGCGCATTAATGCAGCTGCATTCGAGCACGCAGATGTGTCCGACTCGGTTTTAAAAAGCCCCATCAGATTGCTCCATCAATTCTTTTTCTACTCTCGTACAAGAAAATACTTCTTCGGTCGTGAGCGGAAACGGGGGATGTTACTCACTCGGAGTTACTTCGAATTCGCTGTGAGGAAGCTACGGCACAATGCTCACGTAGAATACCGGTTCTTCATAGGGGCAAACAACCTTGCACTTATGAGTTCTGGTAGCGATCGAGCAGAGCCCATGAACAAGGCTGTATCCAGGCAAGGAAACACACGATGCAATTTTGTCCTAGTCCCCGACAGTCACGCTACGCAAGATTCTCTTTCACAAATAGAACTGTCTCCGGCTGGCGATTGTGTGCCCACGGAACTGGCCACACCTAAAGAACTCGCCTACATGCGGACCATGATATCCCAACTCGGAAGAGCCCGACCAACACAAACAGGGCTGCGATAATGATTCAAGGAAGATACCCGGCTTCCCAGTTACAGCTCAATGGACCGGATCCCAGACACGCCTTGTCAATTGGCATGTGGCAACAGAGCACGACCTGGACGCATGGCGGGAACTTGATAGGGTTGCTTGGATCTGATCACTAGGATGGCAAGTAAAAAGGGCGCTGAAGAATAGGAGCTGCTCTCACGACTGCGCGCAAAGACCGTTCGCAGTAATTATGGGATATTCACATAGTTATTCGTCAAGTCCAGCGTCGGATGTGACCAGTATCAAAAGATTGGTTAACACTACGAATCCACAACTCAGCAATCTATGCGATCGCTACAAAGGCATTCAGAATTCCCAGTTTCCACAGTTTTCAGACTGGAGACTTAGCGCGTGCGAATGCAGCTATACCTCCTCTTACTCAGACTTGCATCAGGTCCCAAAGCCAAGATCCAGCCGTGGTGAAAACGGGACAAGATAACCCATATCATCACGAAGACTGTGTCCAAAGCTCTCAGTGGTAGTCGTGGTAACCGTGGTAATCGTCGTAGTCGTGGTAGCCGTCGTAGTCATGGTAGTTGTAGAAACGGCCGGTTCGCCAAATGTCGAGTTCCTGCTCTGTCATGGCCTCCCATTGCAACTTCCAATGGTTCATATTAATAGTAGTCTCTCGATAGCCTTCCTCTATCTGAGCCGGTGACGGAATAGCATCGGGTGGCGGTGTAGTCGTAAAGAACACAGTCAGATCACACGGACCAATGCCTTCTGAGCGAAGACCGTCTGGATGCAAAAGTGTAGAGCGCAAATCCCTGTCGGCTTCTACTTTCCCGTTTCGGAACAAAACTCTTAGCTGGAAGTATGTCTCTTTGCGCATCCTGAGCACACAGAGACGATAGACCTCCTGGAGCGTTGTGTCGTCGAATTCAGTAAGTGGGGACGTCGAACTACCGCTGCGCATTTGATCGATATGCTGGATCCTCATCTTCAGTTGACGGGTCGGTACCATCTGCGTAAACTTGGAGAGTTCGATAGGCATGTCGGCGTCGCCATTTTTCTCTTTGGACATCATATCCAAGCGATGACCCGAAGAGAGGGCGGCTAGAAAGTGCAGTGCAAACGTGCAATGACCTTCCGGGGCAACGAGTGTGATAGGTTGCCCAGGGTAGCCTTTGCCGAAGTAGGCTCTAATCTCGTCGCATAGAAGGCGGTTGACTAATAGTAGTGCTGTGGAAGGCCTTAGTTTGGTACACCAGAGGCAACGATGGTTTCCAAAGATCGACACCAAGTGACTCTCGGGCTGCAAGTAATCGTATACTAATAACCGGATGTCTTTGGGAAGATCGAGGAAGCGGAAGGTATCAAAGATACTATCCATCTTGGGCTCTGAGGACAATAGATGAGGAGCTTAGGTATGCCGGCGTGGATGGGGACCAAGAGCTGATGGGCGTCGTTCAGTGTGGTGAAGCCAGGTTTCTAGTCCATTGCCGTCTTCCGTTGTTCGGATGATGGTACAATAAGTTATGTTGTCCAGCCTAGCGAGAAATGATATCTGTATTCAGCTTCGGAGTTAGCGCGAATCGTGATGGCGAGCCGTTCTATGAGGGTTTTGCGGCGTCGGTGGGGAATAGAATGAATGTCGATGTTCGGGAAGTTCCCGGTTCACCTGCATCAGATGCGGTGCACGGACCCACGCGCATCGGCAGGCGTCGCAAGACATGACGATTCCAGGCTCAGGCACCTCATCCAACCGCAACCATCGACGTCGACCACCTCCAAACCCCATCTCCTCCTACAATATCCTCTCCATCGCCAATACAGGTAGCGAACTACCTAACGGTATCACGATCGAAGCGCCGCCACCGCCGCCGATAAGCTACCCGCCGCCGCGCGATACCGAAGCTCCCAGTCGCCCATCATGGTGAAGCCCGTTGTTTCCGCGATGAATGCATGGACGTGGTATGCGCGAAAACTCCCCCGAAGAAGGAACAGCAAGGAAGCTAACGGAGTGCTAGCATCGTCGTGTCGCTCTTTGCCATCGTCATTCTCTCCACGATCGGAGCTCTGTTCAAAGTACGTCTGCCTCGCGCCCATGGTTCCGACAAGGACGAACACCTTCGAATCCACAGTTGCGACTGGGTATGAGTGAATAAACAGCAGAACTGATACTAATGCGCAACTCGTAGGGACACAGCGGCACCGTAATGGGAGGACACGAAGACCCCGAGGATGGTGGCGCAGTTGCCGGCGCGGTATTCGGCGCCGTCTTCATTTACATTGTACGTTTGAATGGGGAAGAGAACATTGCAGTTTGCTAACGTCTTTCCAGGGCTTCTTTGTCTTCTGTGGCCTGCAGGCCTTCCTCCACATGCGCGAAAGCCGTCGCGGCGCGATAAGCCTGTCATAATCCCGAACAGAATGCGAAACACGACCGAGGGGTAAGATGAGACGCGGTATTATCTAAAGAATCTTTGAATGCGACGATGAAGCATTGGGACAGGCACGCGTCATTGCGCCTGTGGAGGGGAGGCAAGGGGGCAATTGTACATTGTAATATGAGACACGGCGTTCAGCGGGCACAGGCAGGTTCATACATTTCCGTAGCAAGACATTGGATTAGCGTAATATATGCTATCTGTACATGTGCATGAGCCCTGCATATCTGTCAATTGAAGTATCAGGTCCGATCCATGCACGAACGCCAAAAAGCGCCAGCCACGAAGTTCCCATCTACCAGTCCCTCTCCCACAGCGGCTCGAGCGTCTTGCTCATGTACGGGCCGTCAAGCCAGTAACCCAGTTTGCCGTAGTAACTCCGCACACCAACACCAGAGATAACACTGATCTTACTGCTTCCATGCTCTTCCCTGGCTATCCGCTCTGCCTCCTCCATCAAAAGCGTACCATAACCTTGATGCTGGAACCTCTTCGGGTCTCTTGCATGTATAGGGACAGCAGACCCGTAGACGTGCAGTTCGCGTACCAGCGAAGAGGGCTGGCCAGTCAACTCTGGCCGGAAAGTGTGTTCTTTCGAACATTGTCGTAGACGAAGCAGGGCGATCAAGATGTCCTGTTTTGGGTCTTCGTACGCAAGGAATGTTTCCCAGCCGCCGTTAGCCGTATAATCCCGACGTACCAATTCGACCTGATCGGGGCGGATCTTGTGCTTCACTTCGTTGATGCCGACTTCGCGCGTCCGTACATCGCGACACGAGGTACCGAAGTCCTTCATCCTTGCCAGCGCCAACTCTCGCAAGTTACCATTCTCAACACCGGATGTGACAAGCGGCATGGGGATATCGCGCTGCACACGGTAGATTCGCGTCCATGGCGGTACTAGGGCCAAGATGCGGGCAACGATATCGATGAGAGCGTTTGGGGTGTAGTTCTTGTATCTTCCGGTCCGCCAGAGTTCGTATAGTCCTGTGCCGCGGATGACGAGTGTAGGATAGATTTTGAGTCCATCGGTGCGGAAGTCTGGGTTCGAGAAGTACTCTACGAACTGATCGAGATCGCGCTCCATACCAACGTTAGGTAGGTCAGGCATCATGTGCGAAACCACCTTGAATCCGGCGTCCTTGGAAAGACAGAAGGTTTTCGCTACGGCGGCGACAGTGTGGCCTCGGTTCGTGTCGCGCGCTACATCTTCGTAAAGGGACTGTACACCGATCTCGAGACGTGTACATCCATACCGCAACATGGAGGAAAGATGTTGATCCAAACAGTAATCTGGTCGTGTTTCGATGGTGATACCCACGCACTTTATGTTACTCATCTCACCGGCGGCAACAGCCTCGTCAACGTCTTTGGTTTGATATCCCGAAAGCGCGTTGTGTAGTTGTGAGATGAACTCGTCCCGATATGACTCTGGTAGTGACATGAATGTGCCACCCATGATGATGTACTCGACTTTGTCGACACTGTGACCGAGAGACTTGATCTGGTCGACTCGTCCACGAGCCTGCTCGTAAGGATCATAGCGCGCTCGGATAGCGCGCATAGATGTTGGCTCGTAACCTGTGTAGGACTGTGTTGAGTACTCAAAGTCGGAGTCTGGACCTCCTGGACAGTATACACAGATATTACCAGTGTAGGCAATGTGTGGGCACCGGTGAGGTTTGCACATGACCGCCACTACCGCAATACCAGATGATGTACCTATAAAGCACATCAGTCTCACAATACTTATGCAACATCGTTGAGGGAAACGTACGGATCGGCTTGGCGATGAGCTTCGGGAGGATATATTTCTTGTAGTGCTCAGGCACAGCCGCGATAATCGCCGTGAGCGGAGGCTGGCTCTTAAGGTAGTGCTTCTTCGCGATCTGACCTCGTAGCGAGTTCAGGTTCAGATCCTTCTTAGGTTTTGAACCGTCGGCCTGGGATTCATAGTCCTGAATGAGCGCTGAGGCGATGTCTGCGCACGCACGCATGTAACGTTCATTCTCGGGTGGCAATTTGACATTCTTTGGTAGCCTCCTCTTATGCTGCGTCTCTGTCACCGTCATAGTCGCCATGGTGGGCAGATTTTATTGTTTGGTGTTTGCGGTTTACAGATGGCGAATCTTGAGGACTCAGACTCTGGATGTGGAAGTCACGGGTGGGGGTGGGATTTATTCGGAGCTAGGTCGCTCCTGTACTAGTGTGATCGCTTCAACTTGCCAGACTTCAGCAACGCTCTGAAGGTCACTCTCCCACGAACGCACTCATCTGCTTCATCGATGCGCGCCCCAAACCTCGATCTGGTCTCATCAATTTGTCTTCAGATTCTTGCATCCGTACCTATGGAGCACGAATGGCTTTGCTAGACCCGTGATTCATGATGGACTTACCATTACGTTTACTTTCGTTCGTTCACACGAGATGTCCAGGCCATGAGCTCTATTCACTGGGCAGGACTAACTATCATTTTGAATTACTTTCGCGGAGACACTGATTGAAGCATGTGAAACTAGACATAGTTCGGCGAGACTGACAGAGACAAGAACAGACGAAGAGAAAACAGCCATACAAGAGGTGACCTAAAGGAACACTATTCACGCACCTAAGCTCCTTATTACGATTTCGACTCTGTTCACGGACAGCCACAATAATTTCAAGCACCCTGCGAACTCTACGAATACACACACTAAGAGATGTACATACTCAGACTGACCGGACTAGCCTATCTTATCATCTTATCGCTACGAGCGAAAGTAATAATCCTATATGTTCGGCGCTATAAGACGTTGAAAATAGCACACATTCAATAGCTGTAGCATGTGTATTGGAAAAGCTTACTAGGGAATGGCAAATTGGAAATGTCGCCCTTACGCCCTTTCCAAACCATGGTACTACAGTACTAGCTTACGACTCATCACCATGCACCTGATGAGACCAAAACACACCAGACTCGCCTTTTCCCAAGGTAAGCTTTCTTTCCTCTAGATTGTCTTTTCTACTCTCACAATAACAGAAAGTCGCTTGCAATCCCCCAACTCTCGTCCATCCTTACAATCCACAAATGGGAAAGCGCAAACCACACCCCTCGGGCCGTCCGCCAAAGAAACCCGCACCCACCGAAGAAGACGAAGAGAAGGGGACAATCTACTTTTACATGCCAAACGAAAAGCCCTACGGGATATTCTGCCAATGGCACCCCAGCCCCTTCAGCATCCCCATCGCATCACTCCAATGGCTCGTCGACCTTGCACCACCACCACCACTACCCCCTTCTACCACATCCACCACAACCACCTCAGCATTCTCAATCCTATCGGCTCACGCCTCTACCTCCCCCGGCAGCCCAACCCCATTCCTATCCTTCGCCTGCGCCGAACAATCCTACATGTACTGCAAATCCCTCTTCTTCTCCGACTTACACACTTGCGCCTTAATCCTCTCGACACCAGACCCGAAGACGCAGAAAAAACACGGTCAGCGCATCACCAACTTCTCATTCACGGCTTGGAGCGCAGTGAAAAGTCGGGTTGCGCGGGTGGGGAACTGGTATAAATTCACGGGGCCTGGGAACGGGAATAGGCATATGAGGAGTGTGTTACTGGGGACGGGGGAGAGGGAACTTGCGGAGGCGGGACGCAGGGATAGAGTGTGGGGGATTGGGTATAGGGCGTTTGAGGCGGAGGGGTATAGGGAGTGGTGGGGGGAGAATCTTTTGGGGAAGTGTTTGGAGGATGTTAGAGGGAGGATTAGGGAGATGGACAGGAGGGTTAAAGAGGAGGGAGAGGCTGTGGATTGGGATTGGGATGGTGAGTTGGATGGGGATGGGGATGGTGTGGGTGAAGTCGAGAGAGGAGAAGCTGAGGAAGAGGAAGCTGAGGAAGAGGAAGCTGAGGAAGAGGAAGCTGATACTGGTACTATTGTTCAAGATGTAGAACAA